CCGACTGTGACGGGGTATCTGAAACTGGCCCCTGAATATTGGCACTAGAATCGGTCGTTGCTCCCAATATTCGAGGTAACTAAACATTAATAAAAGTCCCCTTTCTTTATATTTTCATGGTATACTCGTGTTACAATACGACACCGTTTGTCTGGGTGATGGATATTTTGTATCAAAATAACCTTGTCCCTTACAATTATTATACCATATATTAGGTCTCATATTACAAGGCTTATGTCATTTCTCCTTATCTTTAGCCAAATTCACGGCCAATTCTTCCATCTTCTTTGTTAGATTTAATAATAAGGCTTCATTTGGATCTTTAACAGTTGTATTTGTGAACAACTTCGGTTGTTGATAGATTGGTGATGTAAAATAAGGTGTTATTATTATTGGCGCTATTACTTGGAGAGGTGTAGCATTAATTGATTTTTGCAACATAACATTCTTCATGTTGGAGTCAGCCATTTGTAGATAATTATTCATCGACACATTTTTCGGTTGTGTTTGTTGGCTTGCTGAACTTGGAATCATTGTGGCCTCCACTGTTAATAATTGGTCATAATGACATTCTTCCCACATCTTTGCTCGTGGCAACGATGCCTCTACCGTAGCTAGTCGAGCCTCTTTTACAAACATTTTCAATTCTCGTGGATGCAAACCATTGATTAATATCGACAATATCAATGCATCTGGCATTTGATTAATTGACCATTTGTGAAGTATATCTCTGACCTGGCAATAATAGGACTCTATTGATTCTCTCGCAAATATCTTACTATTCATAAAACTTTCTCGAAGCCGATCTTCAAATCCAATTGGTCTAAAATGGATTAAGAAGGCATTCCTCAAGGCCTCCCAATTGGAAAATCTACCCACTGGTTACCGAATATACCATTCAAAAGTTATATCTTTTAAAGTTGTTGGCAACCATCTCAACCAAATGTCTTCAGTTCTATGATTATTAGCCATGTAGGCTGTCAAGAATTGAGATATATGGTGATTGGGATCAGAGCCCGGCCAACCACTAAAACTAGGTAATGGTGCCACACTTGTAGTTAGGTCTCCTACTGCTCCCATTTGTACTGCAATTAGTACTTCTGGCATTCTTGCGGCCATTGGTGTTATCACTGGTTTCTTTGGTATTTGAATTTGAATTTTTCTTCTTTTGATTTTACTTGAACCTACAATTCATTTTTGTCGTTCCCGTAGGAGATTTCTTATGCATAATCGCTCCTGTCTTTCTTTTGCTTGTCGATTAATTCTTTGATAATCCTCCCCTTCATGATTATTACTCATAATCTTTCATTCTTCTTTACAAAATCAATACTGCCTTGAATTATAACTCACATATTTATAATCCTAAAATTGGTTCTTCTCATGTTCTCATTCAACATATAATTCCATCTTTCATACAATCAATTTCTATCATTTCAAATTGTTATCATTTCCCCGACAGTAGTGCCAAAATGTTGTTCTCATTACGTTCAAGCTTCAATATACCAAAGCAATTGAACTAATAGACGTGGGTTCGAACAGAGGGAAAGACTGGTTATATAAATTGGGTCTGTTAATGTCACAATTGACTATACTCTGGCTATCTGAAATCAATTATCAAACTACAAAACACCAAGGCTTACTACTTTTGTCTTGATACAACACATAATCCATTCTATGACTATCAATTCAATAATACTTCTTTCAATCACAATTCTTCATAAGCAAATAATAAAAGCAAAGAAAAAAAAGAGATAGTACTATGCTTATCTTGGCTTATGATTCTCATAGTCTGGCTCTCGGCTTATGACTCTCACAGTCTAACTCCGATCTCTCTTTCCTCAACCTCTTTATCCTACTAAAAAGATGATCCGTCAGCCAACGGATTTCAAAGATTATGACCCTTTGAATTCTTAACCATTTATTCTACTAACAACCTATTGTTACCAACTAAACTGCCTAACCATCAGTCTAATTCTCATGGTTGTCAATAACCAACCAGTAACTTACCACAAAATTTATTTATTTATTCTACAATAAGTTTCATGAATCCTTTCTAATAGTCTATTATTACATATGTAAATAATAATATCACAAAATGCATTATGCTCTAATCCATCTCTAGACAATATAATAGTAATTTCTTCAAAAGTAGTGAGAAGATTATATTAATGTTTATTGCTTGCATTCATGAAGTGCAAAGAAATAATAAGATCTACTTCCATTACTCCTTCATAATAAACCTCAAATAGTATTTCATGTGCATGTCTATATAATCAAGTAAATCGATTATTCTCCCTCGAAACTTTTCTAATTTTCCACATAGTTTGGCTTAATAAACTATAATTACATCTCATTCATTTAGTGCAAATGATGCATCATGGATATAGAATTGTGCATAAATTGAATCAATACCTTTTTTTGATAACAATGCTCCCACTAAATAGTGCAACTCTCTATTTATTCTAAAACTATATAAAGTATTTTTTTGAAGCACAAATTGATCAATATTTACACCCAAGGACATAAATGTATGTGCAATATTGTACTGACAAATATTTTCTTGGAACTCCTTTATTTGTGCATCTTGGTCTTGAAATAAGCATCTCAAAAGCAAAGACAAAGAAAGTAGAGATAGTAGAGAAATTTTTCTTTGACAACAATATTGTCCAAATAATGGCAACTTCTTTGGCAATCAAGCTAAATGTTCATCAAACCAATGTAGTGCATTACAATGAGGATACAAAATATTCATCCTTCTTAGATTCTATATGGCTTTAGGACTTGTAACTATTTTAGTTTTTCTTTGTATTCTCTCATACAAATTTTTTAGATCATTGATATAGATTTCATATTAAATGCCAATATTATATTTCATAAAAGATGTCAAAAAAAGATAAAAAAATACAACCACTTTAAATTTGAAAAGAAACCAAAGAATAATAGAAAATGAGATTATAAAAAACAGCAAAGACTTCAATGTCTTCTCATTATATAATAATTTTGTATAATAGATGTATATATAGAGATTGTGTCTTTATTGTTATTTTCAATAAATATTTTATTATTGTAAATAAGAACATGAAGACATCATGTATATAGAATATTGGCAGTTTTTACACACAAAAATATAAATGAACATTGAACATATACAATCCTTATGTTTTCTAACATGTAAACTAAATTGTATATACCTTCTCAATAATTTACTTTTGATAAAGCATTCATTGCAAAAAAAATTTATAAATTTCAAATTTCATGATTGTAAAGCACTTTCATTTTTATACATCTAGTTAAAAATTTATAATATTCTAATATGCATTTAAAACATCAATTTTTGTAGTTTTAGCATATATATTTTTATTGAATCCAAAAAAAATAATATATATATATATATATATATATATATATATTGCTATAAAAAAATATAAATTGGACATTAAATCTGATTTTCTAAAGAAATTATAAAAAAATATAATTATTTTTGTCTCAATCTAAGTATTAATACTAAAAATTGTAGCAAAGTTAGACATAATAGTTGCAAGTAATGGAACAATGTTCAACTCACTTCAAAGTGGAATTATAGATTGTGGCACTAAAGTAGTGTTGTATTATAACACAACTATTAGATAGAAGAATATATGAAGATTATAAGCTGACAAAAATTTACTAAAAATATAGTAAAAAATTACTTTAGAAATCATAGGCAAAAGATATGGAGATAGTAGAATTTTTTAGGATTTAATTGGAATTTGTTAGGATCCAATTAGGATTTTACTAAGATTTATTATAATTTATTTAAGATTTTATTAAAATTTATTAAGATTAAATAAAGATCCAATTAGGATTTAATTAGGATTTGATTAAGATTTGATATGAGTTATTAAGAGTTGTTTAAGGTTTATTTTGGTTGATTGGAATTTGATAAGATACATTTACGATTTTTAAGGTTGGTAAAGCATACTTGAATATTTGAAGCTTTGCTTAGGTTGTTTAAGATTGTCAAAAAAGTGTTTCCAAATACTATATGCATTTTTTTTGGCTTTTAAATCCAACTTTAAGGTAAATAGAGACCCTTCCGTAGTCAGATGGCTAAGATCTAAACATAGTATTGACCCTTGCTCCAAAGGAATAGGGAGTTGTGTCTTACACTGCTTTGCTTTAGATCTATTGGTTGTGCATTGACAGACATTTTTACATTGTTTTGGCTTCATGTGAGGATACGTACCTGCCTGTAATACCCTCCTCACAACTGGTCTATCAGTTCTCAAGTCAGCTGCCAAGCTTCGAACCCTGTGAAGAATTAGTTGGTTTTCCACATCAGAGAGATGGAACAGTGAGCAGGAAGGTGGTTACTGCCAAATCTGAGCGGATGGGAAGTGAGCCTGGTCTGGTTGTACTCCTCCAAGTAGTCGATGATGTAGAAGCCAGAAGTTCGCCCCAGCCAAATGGACCAGAATTATCAGCAAGAGATATGAGAACATGGATTGGCAGTAAAAAAGCTTTTGTGGATCTTCTAGACATCCCGAACAATCGTCGATGAGCCTCAAAAAAGATCGGGACATTCTCATTAACTTTTCGTGTGACGCAGTTGAGGATGTTCATTTTCAGAAACACTTGTTCATAATCGGACTCGTCTGTCACATTAACCATGTGATTTGGCAGAGGACGAGAGAGATGGAATCAAGGATGTACTTTCTAGGAAGCTGCTTCAGTCTAATATCGCAGTTGATGGACATCTATGCTGTCGATTCTGCTCTTAGATCCAAACGCAAACCTTAAGCAGAACCAGCCACTTCCGATTTCATCGAACATGCCATCAGAATACATGCTGTTCTTACATTCGCCGATTATGTTTTCATATGCATTATCCATATGTCAACCCAAATTTCTAGACAGACAGGGTTTGATGCAAACAAACCAACAACATAACTCAAATGCACTCAAGCATGATAATCCTGAACGTAAAAATAACTGATACATGGACGGGCCCAGCTCTCATATACGGTATAGGAAAATAGACAAAACTGATTTTCATTTATCTTTTGAGCATTCTCCACTAATACATTTCCAACTGTGATAATTGGACACACGTGTTCACACAACACAGAGCTTGGTATGCTTCAACACATTGATCTAGTCAGATTCTACGGTATCCAAATACAAGGATCAAGACCAAAACCTCACACTTACATATCCTCTGCTCGCCTCATGTAGTGTACAAGTTTTATTGGCTCAGAAGTTCTGAATAAGTATGACCCCAAGTGCAGTAGCTACAAAAAGAATAAAGAAAGCCTGCTCAGGCGCCCTTGATTGTACACGCCAATCACCTGGTCCGTAAGAATCCACGCACATCAGACAAAAATGAATACAGGTTCTCCCTAAATTTTCGACGATTCTGACGATCCAGTGAGGATGTCACTTGATTTGCGTTTAAAAGAACGTGGAAAGCTGTGGCAAGCCGACTTTGCAAAAGCGCGTTATTCTGTCCCTCAAGTAGTTCCAGTGCTAATCTCTGTTTCAAACCAAACGTGACCAACGTGTCACCTTCATTCAATGCGTGCAGAGAAAGTACAAGTAAAGAGAAATAACGAAATTGTTCAAACATCGTTACAGTGGAAAAAGAAAGTATGAAACAGCTACCAATAAGCTTGTACTTGGAATGATTACCTGATACAAAGCAGTATTGCACAAGACCAGGGGCAGAAGAGCATCTGCGGCTGGCTCCACAAGCTCATTACTGCAATTATTTGAACACCCAAGTACAGAGCCATCAGACTTACTGACAAATGAACAACACGCATTACAGGACTAGGGATCTCATTACTATGAGGTGAAAGTGACTCGTAGGTTGGATTTAAAGAGCACGTTTCAAGTAGGGTCTAACTGATAGCAGAGGCAGCCGAAAATTATCAAATCAGGAAGCCGAGAAGAGCAGATCATGAAGAATTGAGGACGGACAATCTGGCTCTTCAGTACTGATTCAGGTCCCTAAAATTTTCTGGTCGTTTGTCTCCATATTGAGAGACAAAGAATTTAGTCTGTTACAAACAGCTTTACGAGAGACAACAGAGAAATTGTTCAAGTGTAATTACCTGTAGTCATCAAACAGAAGGAATTGGATGACTGATCTGAGAAAATGATCCAATACCCCTTCCTTCACCACTCCATGAGCGTTTTGGATACTAAGTGCATGTACACCAAGACCCTCTTGGCCTCTACAAATTGCCTGATAATGATAAAATGCTACAGCATTCAATGCTGTGAACGACATGCTCACAACCTCCACGTCCTGCAAGAGTAAATGCTGATTAACAAGTAGACTAGTATTGCATGATTCGTAAAACTCTAAGAAGTTCTAGATCACATTCAATCGTACAACACTTCTGAATTTCAATAGTATCCAACAAGCTCTCGAGAAATGAAGTCATCTAGTAATACTATTTTCCAGATAATGGTATATGGGATTTACCTGATGCCGCAAACCAAAGTCCAGAGTACTCGCAATCCTGGAAAATCCTTCAGGTGATAGCTTTGCGACTTTCTCAGGATAAACTTCCAACATATGAGCCAATAAGGTGAAATACTGGAACACGACACAAAATTGGCTCATCAGGAATGAAGGTGAAATCAAAATCAGCTACTACTGGTTTGAAGAACAAACGTCGCATCGCCAGAGATTTCAGCAAGGCACCCAGAAGTGAATCACGTGCAACTCAAGAACAGAAATATGTCATTTCTCAATGCATCTAAGAAACGGAAGCTATATTCAACTCGAACAGCGAATGTTCCGAATACGAACCTGGCGGCACAATTTCGGGTATTTGAGAAGATCAATTGTCATAAGTGGTGTAATAATATGCAAACCCAAGTAAACAACCTGCCATAAACGAAATAAGTGATCAAAACATAGGTCAAAGAAATTTAAAACTCTTATTTAGCTCCATATTTTAAAACTCTTACTTAGCTCCATATCAATGTCCTTCGACTATCTGCTGTCAAAGATAAGCTCCTGGCAAACAAAAGAAAAATAAGACTCCAACAGAACTATGTTAAAATAAGACTAACGATCCAGGACTAGTGACAGAGGATGCTGAGCATGAGAAGCCCACTTGTTGCGATGGGACTACAAAAAATGTTAAAAATCAAATGTTTTACTCACTTGTGCAACATCAGGATTTTCTACTTCGCCATTGACATCACACGCGAAATCAATCTGCGGCATTAAGAGAAAAGTAAGTAACATATGTACATGCTACAAAGAGAAAAAACAACAAAAAGCACAGAATGGATACAAATATTCTCCTGCAAAATAGAGAACCAACTCGCTGAATAACGGTGCAACACACTCACAAGGTCCTTCGAGCTCAAATTGGTCAAGAGCTGAAGTAAAGCCCGCAGGTCCTTGTACTTTTCAGTTTGGCTCTCACTCAACAAGTTCGTTGACGCGCTTATAGATACTTTCCCAATATTATGAGCAGAATATATCTCAAGCAGCCGTACACAAAAGCTGAAAAGGATGGCTGTGTCCTTAGCCTCCAGAAATGCTACTTGACCGTCCACCCAATCGACGACATATTTGAGCACCAAGTAGATCACAGAAGACTGCACCACTCCCACATGTGGATATATTTAAGAGACGTGAGATATCCTTCACGCGTTTTCACAATTCAACGTAACGCAAGCCCAAAGGATAATATCAAATGACATGAAAGAATTAATAAAAAGTGCGAGGTGTCTGACAATAATATTCTACTAATAATCACAACTATCCGTCATGAGACATCTCTGCTGTAGACATCATTCTAGTAAACTACACAATGTCATCAGCTTTCCATTAAACACACAAAGCATACCGCAATCAGCATTCAGACTTCTTGTCTGCATTAGCATGATACCCATATTCAACGAATACACTACAGTAATCATAATAGGTACGACAATTGGAAGCTATCTGCGAAAAGTTCCCCTATTTTAAACTCTTGAGGTTCTTGTCAAGTTCCCATACCTGGTGTTTGTAGGTTTGCACCAATACCAACAATGGCTCCATAACTGCAGCCCCTACATCGAAAATTGCTTTTTGACTTCGTGGCAATGTAGCTCTTGCTGCCCCTCTTAATCTTTCAATTAGACAACTCACCTATAATTATACATGAGATAATGCTTAGAACATCAACGGATTTAAATTATAACTAAATAGCTAGAGAGAGATTAAAGACTGAGCGAATCTTCAGCCCACAGACACTACACTGGTGTCACCACAGATCTTATAGACCACGATAATCACGAGATATCACACCAGATTCCACATTAAATCTATCCGTCGCTCTATCCCTTAATGGGACAGCAGGACAATACTTGGATGATTCTTCATTCAACTCAATCCCATGCACAAGCCTGCAATCAACCACAAGGCAGAGGCTATCCGGTCTCTCTGTCCAAACTACTTTCATACCATAAACAAGATTGATGGGATCGACAGAAATTCTCCATCAAGACTATCTATTGAATTCAACGCAGCAAACCTATCCTTCTGGTTCTTGTGACAAACATGAGGACTTTCATTCAACATTTGCAGGATAAATTCTCCACAACAAACAGCAGGACAAGATACACTAGAACGAAATAGTCAAATACAAATATGTGGACATATCTCACCTGCATGATGACATCAGCCTGCTGTGCAAAGGCTTGCAGATCATCATGTTTTGAAAGAGAAGACAAAGTATTGGTTATTGGACCCAACAAATCCCTGACGTACCTGCACAAAAGAACTAGACTTATAAATGAACATGTAACCCACCAGAACTAGAGAAGTTTTCCAACCATGGAATTGATATAATATTCTACGATTGTGGATGCTTGAATTCAGAACAGTAATAAAGATTCCGATGCCAAGAAAGAAACAAAGAAGATATATATGCTGAAGAAGAAGAGGAATAAGTTCCACGTTCACATAAAACAAACCAGAAATTAGAATATAAATATATATGTTTTGACAAAGGTGGAGAAGTCCCACATCCACTTACTGATTGGTTGCATCGCCGCTGCCCATACCAGCTGCTGATCGACAGAGGGCCTCTGACAATGCACGCTGCATCACCAAAACAAAATGCAAATTATTTCAATATCATGCAAAAACTGGCCGCACTACAGATGACTCCAAATTCAAGGAGTCGTTCGTAAAATGAAAAAGTTAGCATTTATTCGCATACTTTACTTGATTTGGTGCAAGAGCAGCCCCATGGACAAACTGCTCAAAAACCATTATAAATAGCGTTTGTTCTAACCTGAATTGAAGACGCAAGCAGTGAAAGAGGAGGTTGTTGGTATGCAAAAGCCTGAGCCAACTCCTGCCAAGGTTCCTGCACATGAATCGCTTCGTTTTAAACTTCATAATCCTAACTCACTCATAAGCTGATACAATTTCAATATCTGCCAGTTGAAAAGCCGAGGACCCTTTACTGGCCAAATGTAGCAAGTCATCCAATAACATGATAAGCATGACATTAAGATCGAACATATTCACGACTTTCTTTCTGTTAAGAAACCACAATCACTGAACACTTGCTAAAATATGCGACACGGGTATTTCCATTCAGGAATACAATATGATTAATGAAACCCACCAGAGTGACTAAATGAACACAAATGTTGCGTCTCCGGACCAGGGACGGAAGGAGCTGGAATCCCGCAAGTTCCTGACACGAGAAAAAAAGAATTGAACTTCAAAAATTGCCCAGGCAGGAGGTCTCATCAAAGTTGAAGTAAACCGGTTTAACCCCCTCCATACAGCCGAAAAACTGGACAAACATAACCACATTGTGTAACAAAAAACATACCTGCAATGTTCGTTCACCAGGCCACGCTGTGAGCGCGGCTACAGCTACCCTTACAAGTACATCCAGCACAATTTTACCACCCCCTTCCTCTCCAAATGCCATGACTAGGGGATGAAGTTGTGGACCGGCTATGCCAGACATCTGCTGTTGGTCGCCTTCGTTGCTCGAAGGAGTAGAGTTGGGTCCTCGCCCTGCGTCGGCTGGCATTAAGTATGTGTCCACCCATCTCCCAAAAAACCACACGACAGCCTGCAAGCGATAATCCAACTACTTAAGAACCATTTGTACATCATTTGTACTCGGTTGCACCAGATTATGATTATGAACGTGGACACTTGCAAAACGCGAAACCGTCTCATATTTTTCTGAAGTAAAAAGGTCATCCTCGCCACTATTTGAATGATGAACTTCACAATTGGCAATATGCAAATTATTTCTTATGCCAAGTAGGATCAGAGTTTCTCAGGGTGTCTCAAACAATACTAGGACATTTTACAAACCCGAAACTTAAAACCATCGGTTTCAAACAGTGAGACTCTACAATCTGAAGAGTGAATGGCCAGATATACTAGCACGATCTATTAACTTAATTATTCTAGAAATATATCTACTGAGACTGCATCATTGACACAATAACTGCAACCGCGGCATGTAAGAGCGAGAGTATTGTTGTCTTGTGATAAATTGGTCATGTCACAAGAAACAGGCTCCACCTACACATCTGTAGACTAGCAACATTTGAAGCATTAAAAATTCAGAGAGAATAAAAAGCAACGCATCTCTTATTGCTACCTCCATCAGACGCGAACTGAAGAACTCCGTTCGAAAAGCTATATTCAGGCTCTGGCGTGCCAATTCAATGACGGATCTGGAGCCAAAAAGACATCTCATAAGCACCAACCAACTTAAAAACTTCGCAGTCTTCAAAAACACAAAACGTTGTTGAAGCAAAAGTAAATAGAGCGAAGGACAAAAACATACACCATGCTCAAACAAAGCACTAGGAACTTCATTCATATTCCAAAATGAAAAAGACACAGATGCCAACCGAGAAAGTAACACAGCTGGATGATTAGCAGCCTCTGCTGTGCTCACACTCAGCGCTGATATGGACTCTGGGACCTGCAGATGAATGTCCAAGAGATCTTTTTTAAGAACATACAAAAGTAACTCGTAGAAAATTCTCATCACGACTTCTGAAAACAAGAGGCTGGTACAGAGGGTCAGACAAGTCCAAGAACAAACAAAAAAATATATTTGATAATAAAAACACAATGTAATATAAGAAGAACAAAAAAAAAAAAAAAAAAAAAAAAAAAAAAAAAAAAAAAAAAAACTACAACAACAACAGGCAGAGCGAATTTAAGGACTAGTTCTAAGATGATTATATATATATAGATTAGCATTACATCTAAAAACTTACCAGAGGTGTTTCACCATCCCCACAATCCGCAAGAACATGTCCTGACATTAACAAAAGCCAATGTAGCTCCTCCAATACTGTTGTAGGATCATTTCTTCCGCCTGCGCACTAATATTTTTCCCATGCAGCTCTATCAAGAAAACTAGGAGGTATACCGCATAAAAGAATAAATGACATCTACTAAGAAACAATAGCAGTACGGAAGTTGAGAAAGCTTCACAAACGCTTTGACAATGCATGAAAATTAATTAACTTGTACAAAAACAACCGAATGACTAATGCTAGAGTCTAAATATACTAAACAAAGAGATTAACGTACTTGATGTAGCCAAGCGCAGCGTTCAGTGATAAGCCTTGCAAGATATGGAACAGTTGACAAAGGAGCTGCCCGAGCCACCAATGCTACCGCACTCAAATGCTCGTCTCTTGCTGCATGTAACACCCTTACATCGTCAGTTTTCTATTAATCACTGACAACAGGACATAGGAACCCAATCTTGTGTACACCAACCAAAGAACAAAATTAAATGAATGCATCTTCTACAATTCACTTATAAAAAGAGGAGAAATTAGCAGATTCGTAAAGCTAATTAAATTAAACACCTGCAATGACTCATACAACTCAATATACTTTCTCTATTTTGTTGAATGATTAAGCTGAACACCTGCAATGCTAGCACGGAGTAGTTCAGCAGCATCATCTTCATCATTTGCTGACGCTGCAGCAGCTGTGAACACAAGACAAGGTTAGAAGAATTATGAAGACAATCCAGTTAGTTGTCCTCCTTAAAATATCACCCGTAGCAGGAAATCAAGAGCAAATAAGTCACAACGAAGACAAACAAGAAACCATAAAACAGGAATTTAGTACAACACCTCTCACTTCAGTTTCCACGTAAGCTTGGAAAACTGCAGCAGCTGCCTCGACACCGGTGGAGGGGAATGGTATCCTCTTACTGAAATCTGCAGGCTGAATGCAGGATGACGCAATCAAGAAGTCTGCATTGTGGTAAAAAATGGGTACAAATGCAGTGGAAAGTACTTATATTCTAAACGATCCACTTCTAATTATGTGTTAAGAATAATAAAAAAGTTTCAATTCTGCGGAGAACACAAATGGCAGGAGAGTTCCAGAATCCAGCACAAACAGAAACCGTGCTTGGGATGCAAAACCTAAGGAACAGGGAACGATGATCAGGCAGCATAGGATTCTTTTAAACTCTCGCCAAGAAGCACTAGAATTAGCTTATGATTCGACAAAAATTTGAGCAACAGAGATGCACAAGAAAATTATGCATGAACTTCCAGGCATCTGATGATTAATTAAATATAATCTCCTAATCACAACTAGAAAGATGCTTACTTGTAGGAGAACAGTCCAGGTATCTAAAAGAGTATCGAGAGCTTCTGCAGCCCATGTATCCTCTTCTTTACCATTCTGCTCACGGGCCTTGATAACCTCTCGCGTAAGGGAAGCTAACAGGCTCAAAGTACCTGATGATCTGTTTTTAAAAAGCAACTCAACATATTCATATGAAGGAGAGGATGACATCCATGTCGAACAAAATAAAAGCCGAAAAGATCATGAAAATGAAGGAACTTTACGAGCCAAAAAATAATTACACTAAAAAGCCAATACGATATAAGATAAAAACCTCCAAGACCATACAGATATGATATTTAGAAGATAGATTGAACTATAAGACTGGACTTGCAACTATCGAAGTCCACCTTCTACCTCATCAAAAATTACAAAGATGACGATCGGACGCCTTGACTCTGAATCAATAAATTCCCCTCACCTAGATACAGGTTTGAGAAGTTGATCGAATGCCGATGGAGAGTTTACACTGGCAACAGCCACAAGAGCCCGACATCCATCCAACAGTTCACTGCAGCCGAGAACACGAAAAATTTCATAAATATACGCATAAAAAACACAGACACAATAATCCTGAAGAGGATATATTCTTCTCCGCTTAATCCAGAGTCAACTATCTAAACAAACAAGGAAATGCATGTCAAAGCTCACCCACCTTTCAGAAGTTGAACCTGCTAACAGAGCCCTGACAACAGCTTCAGGTGGATCTAACCAAGACGTAATTCCTGTCATTAGACGTTGGAGATGAAGCTCTTGTGTTACGAACCCATCTGTAAAAACACAGTACGTGATTATATACTTGAATTTGATAAACCAGTAAAGCTTTCATCTCTCATCTTGTGATAAACTATCAGACACCAACAAATAAAACGTCATGCCTACAAGGCGACAATCCAACTCACCAGGTGAAAAGATGCTCCCATTTAAGGAGCATAACTGAACAATGAGCTGGCGAGCGGAAACCGCAAGAGGTGAATCCAGCCATGAAGGTCCACCAAATTGTCTTTGGCGAATATGTGAATAAAGCTCCAAGATCCAATTCACCCGATTAGCTTCCAACAAAACATCATGCCAAACTGGCCCTGGCTGCGTAGACATTCAAATCAAGGAGTAAGACAACAGCCAAAGAAGATATTTATAGAAACTGACCTAACCACCGAAAATAACTGGAACGTGGCTTTAGTACAAAGAGGATATCACAATAATTTTAAAAATGCCAAGAGCAAAAATCCTTCGGAATTTTCAAATATGTAGAAAAATCGAGGAACTAATTTCCAACATTCATACCTGGACCAAGGACGCATGATCACCAGGACGATTGGAAATATTTGTGTCTCGCCCTATTGAAGATATAAAAGCATTCGTTTTACTTTTCCCCATGACAACGGAACCGTTAATACTACGAACCCAATTTGTGCCTTGGAATTCCCAGTTTAAAAGTTGAGACATAAGCCTTAATGCTGATGCACAGACATTAATATCCATTGCACCCCCAACTCCTTGTAGAGCCCTTTCGGCAGATGTTACTGCAGCTTCTTGAGCCCACGTGTAGAATACCTGTCATACAGAAAGCACTTCTTAGCACCAGAGTCAACTTCTACTCATCAATAGTATCCTGACTAGATGTTACCCACAAACGAATGAACAACAATCCATAAAAGCAGCCACAACATCAATTTGAGGCACTAAAATTGAAGATTATGCATACTCTTCAGTAATTTATGACATTTGGAAACGGTGTTCCGAATTAAGGAAAAGGAGAAGTTTCTTACATGTAAATAATCTAGTTCCAGAGAGGCCCGACAATGTTCGTGCACTTCTGCGGGTAAGCCCATTGCGCTGGCAGTGGAAGGAGCGAACTCGGAAACCAACGCCTCTAGTAACGCTATACCAGATCGTTGTGCAGCAGGCCCATGGGCCCCTAAAACAGCTTGCCTGACCTGCACAGGAACGACTTGATTTATATCACGTACAAACCAGAAAAATCGTCACACCAACGAAAGTTGAAGAAGAGATAGTAAGACAGTAAGACATAGATATGCATTCTTGAAAGCATTAAAACAATACTATACTTCTGAAGAAGCAGCTGCGAAGTCGAGGATACAGAAGTGTAATCACGAATATAAAGAGTAAAGAATAGAGAAACAAGGTGAACATTTCTACGTAGAGCAGAAGCCATCATGACTCAGCAACCAACAAATCCCGAAGGGTTGCATTCTGACATTAATGAAGTCACAGCTTACAGCTTGACAAAAATGCACATCAACTACAAATCTACGCGACATCGGTTACCTCAGAAAAAAATGCTTCCTTCTCCGTGGCAACAGACTCCAACCTGCCACCACGAAAACTTTACTGCTCAGGCTTTTCAAACTTGACCATCAATGGCTGTGGTTTCAAAAGAAAACCATACGTAAGAGTCTTCTTGAAACCTTCCTATTAAAAATATGCCTACTACTAGTCAACTTACATACCAAATAGACGAAATAACGACAATTCAATCACAAAGAGGTACCCCTAAACTACTCATGCCCTCGAACTCCTCAAAGCAGGAATAATTGGATAAAGAGAATGCATCAACTCTTGCAACGGAAGTAAGGTTTCATTGACACTCCACGTCAAAATTTACCATAAAATAGCCACATACCAGAGATTCAGTAACTAAGAAAACAAAAATAGCATCTGAATATACCCAAGTGGCATTTTCGTTGATGATTCTAGAATCAAGTATGTTGTGTGACACAAGTGTGAAACTAAATACTGCGTGAATCTTGCCATGAACATGCTTTATCAATGGAAAGTCGCTACGTACCAGCCTCTTTTCAACAGCACAGCGGCTACTGATAAAACCTTCATTTGAACATAGGCTTCTGCAGCATCAGCTCTCGCCATCACATAATGTAGACAATATCTGATACAACAATTCGAAAACTTCAATTTCTCACGTCAATAGTACACATTACAGCTGAATCACAAGTGCATTTCAAGTGGAAACATTGCGTTCATACACTTTACAATGGTAAGAGAATAATAATAATAATGTAAAAGGACATTTCATGAGACAAGTAGAAATTACGTTCGCAGGTTGCTCCTCTCGTCTGCTGTGAGTAAGGGCCACTCCCGGATAGCAGCTTCCTGCATTGTAGCTGCTGCTTGAAACCTTGCTGTGGCCATTTGCGAGTGTTCTGTACAAATATAAGCAATCTGGGTAAGCGTATCTTGAGAAGCTGCACACCACATATATCCGATATTGCAATTAGCCAACACCAGAATTCCAATTCCAGATTGGGACAAAAGGCTAGACCTAGGATGTATTGGCATGCTGGTGTTGGTTGAGATGATTTTCGAAATGCAAGCAATGTCGCCTCGGCAGCAGCTCTAGAACTTGGATCCTGAGAATCAGTCACAAGGGCACCATCAATAATAATATTCAACTCATCTGTTCCATGAAACCTTCTAAAAGTGAACATCGACTGCTTTCCCATCAATTCTCAGTCTTAGCAAAGCTCAAGCTGCTGAGAGTCCGTATTCTATGATTCATGTGAGCGATAGGTATTTAGAAAATCATCAAAGTTAGAAATAAGGACGAATTTTTCCCACACTAGCGACAAGCACATTGCTTCCACACATCCACGAACTTTGTACACTCCTTAAACAACTCGGCTGCCTCACTTCGATATCAAGTTCATCAAGACAGAACTTTATCATTGTAATTGGCACGTAAATAGACTCTACTCTCCAGAAGTATGATTCCCTAGCTAGAACATTACCATAATGAGATGCCCTGAGTACAACCAGGACAGAATAGTATCTTCGACTCTGCCCTTGCACTAAGGAAAAGGAGACTCATCTTTGAAAGTCTTGATAGACCCCATTTACAGTCTGAAAAGATTACTGGATGGTTTTCAAATAATTCTAGTCCAAGTACTCAGCGCCTATTTAACCTCTGAGCGACACCAATAATCATTCCCAATATGTAGTCTCGAAGTATTCGTTCTAGACACAAAGCTGCAGAAAACTGGCAGGTGCCTCAGCATTGCAAGACAAATGGCTCCTCGCGCCAAGGGCACCCCACAAATTCCTTAGGAAGATCGCTAACAGATTTATTACTCTTCTTACCAGTCAACTCAATTTGACTCTTACTTAGCTCCGCGAGAAACTTTCAATTCTTTCCTGTTTATGTCGTTGAAAATCAGTAACCTTATTACCTGACCTAGATCTGTAATCGATGGCCAACAATGTACCTGAAGTGCTGCACAAGCCTGTTCTACAGCTTTCATGACGCTCGCCAGGCGCTCCAAATCGTTGTTCGTAGTGGGCTGTTGCTGCCATCCTCCCTGCTCTAGCCCCATCCCTCTCAATCTCTACCGTCCAAAACTGTAATTTCAAAATCCAGCCTTGGGTTCCAGCATCAACTCGTTGCCAGCTATCATAGCAATTTCACCACCAGCCCTATTCCAGCACACTGCGAACAACAAAAGAACGCGATCACCATTACTGAAAAAATTTAAAACACCATCACAAATTACATAGACTATAACAACGTTACATTGATTCTATTGAAAGTCGTAAACGTTAATGGTGCATTTATTGCGCTTCCTCTCCGTCACAATGCAGCTCGTGATCTTTCTCTCATTCTTAAGATCGGATCAATGTCGAGATCCAGGACTGTGAAGAGTAAGAAATTCATTCCGCCAGTCATCTGTCAGTTGAAAGTTGAAAGAGAAAAATAAATCTGCAATCAAACATCTATCTTTGAGGCTCCCAGTCCACCAAGTGGCGACCTTAAATTTAATACATCAATGGAATTATGCCGCTGCCGTGTCCGTTATATATTGCCCTAATCCTTGGTAGCCGGGCAGAGAGCAGAAGAGCACGCGCGACAACAAAAACCTGGCGAAAACGTCTGAAAAAAGAAACGTCCTCGCTTCTAAAGCTCTAGCAACCACACCGAAAACCCTCTGCCACTTCGAAGATTCGAATGTCGCCCCATTACCTGTAGACCACAGACATATAACGCAAGAGCAAGGCCAGAAAGCAACCCTTGCTCACAGAAACTCTCACGCAAACAAAAATAGCCTAAAAACTGTCCCCTACAGCCCCACGGACTGCAAGTAAACCGAGCTCACACCAGCTCTACTGTCGCGACTATCCCCAGAACCCCAAAACCTAAAACTACGCTGTATAGTCAGCTCCTGAAAAACTGCGAAGCAGCAAGCCAACGCTTGCTTGGAATATATCAGCAAACAAAGCAACAAAGGTGGAGAAAAGTAACTACCGAAAATAGAGAACGACTGAAACACACGAGCCAAGTCGAAAGGAATGATCAATGAAACATGAATAAGCCAGCAACTACACGCAGAAGATGGTCACCACGAACACATTCTTCGCTGGATCCGCAGTTGCCTGGGGCAGTGGAGCGAAGGTGAAAGCGCACTTAAACAGCACTATTTTAAACGTTCCTTCTCTTTTCGTTCGTTCTACTATTATTCAGTCGTGTGCGATACGTGTGAATAAATTTTAGCTTCAGCAAGATAATAATATTTTCGATTGATCTGCTCAATTAATTCCTAACTTTAGAGGCATAAAGTTCACAAGCAGAGAGAAGAGAGGATTTAGAGGGCTTTTTCTCTGCTCCTTACTTTCTAGTTTCTGACTTGACTGTCAGTGAGAGTGCGCATGAGTCGCATCGCTATAATAAATGATGAACAACTGCGACGAGGCTCTCTATTGCTAACACCCAGAGATGGGTCCACCCCCAGTGTTTTGTGTGGGAGCCATTGTGTTAAGTATGTAAGACCTGCACTTTGGAGGCACTCGCTATTAATTTGCTCGTAACTCCAGTTTCTTAGTTTCATCATATTCTGCAGCCCAGTAAGGACATAACAGTAGGACTTGGCACCGTGATAGTTTAGAGATAAGTGGTAGAAATGTGTGATCCAACATATTTACGAAGAATCCATTGGACGTCGTGCACTGAAATTACTGTCTTCATCTTCCTGCTAATCGTTCTCACAAGGAATGACACACTTAGAGAGAAGGAACTGTAGGCAGTTTGAGTAAGATTCAAAGGTCATCGTGAAATTTTACTTAGTAATCTAATGCGGAAAACTCGATTGAAAGAAATTAACCGATATAGATTCAATACGCCGTGCAAAGTAAACGCACTAGACGTAACACAAATGCCATGAACGCAATTTATTATCCTGGTCAGCTTCCAGCCGAAATGACATTCAGAAACCTTCGGCACAATTCAGGTCAACAATACCAAAGGAGCATAAATTCATATGTCGCTGATGAAGCATAATTCATTCTCAAATTCTGTCAACTAAAGCGACAGTGCAAAGGCTTCGTTTAAGAACAAGATTTAAACACATTCGAGGGAATTTCTGGTGAGTCGATCCCAAGTAGGATCGTCATGAAATTTTCGAGAGCTGCATCATTGCTGAGAGTGAATATGATTGTCATCTCTATAACTGAGAGAAGATAATCCTGGCATGGCAAGTCGACCAATATTGTTATGAAAATTATTATACGTGTTATTATGCTGCAATTTGAACCTCTCCCCCGAAACATCAAATCCAGTAACAACTCCCAGGTTCAGCACATGAAGGGTTGCTTGATGTTGCCCAGGCACAAGTATTTCAGCTGCATCCAAAACACCAGCCACAACAAAGATGTGACTAAGTTTGCATACATGGATCGTGGCAACAACACAAGGAGATAATGTATCAAAACACCAGATTGAAATGATCTCAGTTCATGGATGTAAAGTTCTGTGATGTGTCTTCATACATTTCTGCACATCTTAACAAGCGGCCTTGTCACCTGGGAAATAGCATGGTTTAAGAAGGAATGGCTGATTCCAAGAATGTACCTCAAGATACTCATCAATTCCGTAGTTGGAACCTTCACGACCTAGTCCAGATTGCTTCGTTCCCCCAAAAGGAGCCACCTGAGGGTGATCCAAAGCACAGAGGGAAACATGTTAAGACAGCTGTTACGAAGGTCTCAGTTCATCGGTTAACGGCTAGATTAACACTACATGGATCCCAAAATATTTAGACAGGCAGCAATCAAGTGACGCATACCTCAGACGAAATCAGGGTCTCATTCAGACCAACCATGCCATAATCCAAAGCCTCAGCGATACGCCAACCATGCTCGATGTTCTCTGTGTAGGCATACGCTGCTAAGCCTGTCCAACCACCCACACTATCCATAAGTACGTGTCGATACGTCTGCGCTATACCTAATCCTTCCAGGTTACTGTTTCTGTGTCACATAACATGCTTATCAATTTTGACGTGAAAACATCAACTCTCTGATCCAGGTACAGCAGTTTGGTCAGAAGTAACTGCCATTAATTCATTGAAAACACACCAAAGAAATAAATCGCTTGCTTCATTATAAAAATGTGCCGTGATATACCATATTCAGTATCATTTGCCATCTTGATAGCCTCTTCATCCGTCTGGAAGCGCATAAGAGGTGCTACAGGACCAAAAACCTCCTCTCTTTACAAATAAAAAATCAATTTTTAATGAATGTTAACGCATCATCCAAATCTCGTGGAAAAATTTCCAAAGGAAGCACACACAGATCCAAATCATCAGGCGATTTAACATCCACAATCATGCATTTTTACTCCTTTCAGCAAGCTACCTTCAGTGTGCATCCACTAGCATAAACACCTATTTAATGAAAAAGCCAAGGGCCTCACCTAAATATTAGCATCTCATCGTTACAACCGCAAAGAACAGTAGGTTGATAAAATGTGCCTCCTAGACTATGTCGTTTGCCTCCTACCAGCACTTTAGCACCCTGCAAAATCCACATCAGGTTGTGAGCAAGGTAGAATTTATTTTTTCACAACAATATACTGCCTCATAAAATCAGCACTGCATTAGTTGTGCACACAAATGGTTCCGCTAACTGTGAATAAGATTCTACCTTGGACACTGCATCTTGGACATGCGCTTCCACCTGTGGAGCCCATAAAACCAAGTCAAATATAAGTTGGTCGAATAAAATCCGGAATTATTTAACCCAGTTGCTAACTATGTCAACAATAATCGAGATGGATACTGCACTGATAAAGTCCTCTCAAAGAGAATTTTCCATTGCCGCAAATCATCATCATCTTTAGAATAAAACAAATCAAGAGGTCGATGCTTTATAAGGGTTTTGATAATCGAGTGTAACCAGAAATTTTAAGAGTAAAGCTCTCACCTTTTTCAACGAAGCCTCATTGATTAGCGGTCCCTGCACAAATTAAGACCTATTACTACAGCATCATCACGGGAAGCGTTTCCAACTGAAAGCAAAGCATAGTCTACCCGAAATGTCCACAATCCCCGGTAACAATTGGCGTTCGTACGAACCTGGGTCACCCCTGGGTCTAGTCCATGACCTACACGCAACTTTTGTACTGCCTTCGTAAAAGCTTCTGAAAATTTGTCATATATGCCTGTCATTAAATACAGAAAATAGTCAATGCGACAGTCAGTGTGTCTGTAGCCATCGAGATAACCTCCTTCTAATATGTCTAAAACAAAATTCACAAACTACAACTCGATCAGGGCGCATTCTCTCAGTGATACTTCCATCACTGTTGTAATGCTTCTAAACTGGTGAAGACTTTTACAGGAGAATCTCACCATCCTGCACAAGAATTCGGTTGACGCAAACACAAGTCTGGCCTGCATTTCTGTATTTTCCATAGAGCTGTATCCCATAAATTGCACCAAGCTCATAAACCACATGAGATTACAGTGTTCATACCAAACTCTCTCTGAAGCCATATTTTTAAAATTTCTGATCATCTAAAGCAAGAATGCCTAGAACTCAAACCAAATACAGCAGACAAGACAATTAATGAAATCCAGAATATAGAAAAATGAGAACACTAATTATCGTAAAACATCAAGCTATGCAAGCTTACCGCTCCTTGAACAGCAATCTCTATGTCAGCATCATTAAAAATGATGAGAGGTGCATTTCCACCGAGTTCGAGAGATATCTGTGTCCACATAAATTTGACGCATTAGTATTTTCAACTTACAAAAACATAAGCTCTTATGGAACTCAAAATTCTTCTACAACCAAGTAGTTCTGAATCACATCAATCTACACATGGTAATTACATCATTGAATTGTATGGTTGTGAGAATAGTACAATTTCGACATGATTTTCTAGAAATAAACTCATTTTGCACCTGTTACTGAAATAGATTAATCAAAAATCTACTCCAGACCACATGCAATTCACCTTCTTCACAGTTTTGGAAGCAGCAGCCATAAGTAATTTTCCGACGTGCGTAGAGCCTGTAAATGTAATCTTCCGCACCTGAGGACACCCGATTGCAGAAGCTTGCACACTTAGCAGAGTGTTGAAATAACAGCTCGTAAGTGTGCAGTTTCAGGCACACAAGAATTCTTTCATCCAACATTTCAAATTTAATATGCAGATTAGATCAGTCTGTCATTTGTTCCCAAATAATCCAGGCACAAAAGAGTATTTTATGTGGCTTTTCACCTTAAGCAAAAGCAAGTGGGGAGAATATTTCATAGAAAAACGTCAAAGTGAAGACGTGATTATAACGGTGTGTAGATGCATGAAAGTAGAACTACCTCGTTGCTATCCATCATTGCAGCACCGATTTCAACAGCATCCCCCATCACCACATTCAGTACACCCTATCATATGCCACAAGAGCACGATATGAGAAACTTATTCTACAAAAGAACATCTCGTGTCGATTGCAATATGTGGTTACTGGAAGTAAAAACACAGACCGACCGAAAATATTGAGATGGAAAGGTTGAATTTAGATTGCCACTCACCGAAGGAATGCCAGCTTGAACCGCAAGTTCAGCTGCAGCCAGAGCCGTCAAGGGCGTAAGCTCTGCTGGTTTTAAAACTATGGTGCAGCCTGCCGCTAATGCTGGTGCCACCTGCAGTCAAGCTCATGGACCCACTTGCTTTCAGAGATCTCGTCACTCTCAAAGTTCAAAACACACTTTACACACTCCTGCACACAACATTGAATTGTAACCTGAACTTTCTCGAGCAACGGTTCGTAACGGCTGGCTAATCTCTATGCAAGGCAATCATCAAATTATAATTTGAAAAGATTGAAGGACCTTTCGAGTAATCATAGCAAGCGGAAAATTCCATGGTGTGATAGCACCTACAACCCCAACTGCCTGCCAACCAAACAGAGGTTAGAGCTTAACCTCAACGCTTGCCCCTGGCCATTTCAAGGATGTGTAAAGTTTTTTTTAGGCGAAAGCACAATTGTATATGGCACAAGTTGTTTAAGTACCAACCTTCTCATCTTTTATAAACTCTCCTGTAAAGTAAATTAAAATGATTCTTAGTGTCGATATCTCCATATAACTCAAGTCTTCCGATGCAAACGTTTCCACAAGATTAACTCTAGTGTAAGATTACTGGAGACGTTATATAAAGTTAAAAGTAACAAGACGGTCTCACCTGTTTCATTACTAGCATACGTTTAGTTGGAAAAGGAGAGGGTATAATATCACCAAACACACGTTTTCCTTCTTCTGCGTAGTACTCTACGAAGCCTCCCCCATACACAACCTGCACACACACTGTGGTGATCATCCATAGCAGCAGCATCTACCATGAATAAACGACGCATGTGAAATAGTCATCAAAAACTTCCACACCCTGTAAAGAACACCAACTTAACATGCCCATTGAGCGACCATGGTTGACGATCTCTAGCAGGTCACTACCTCTCCATTGGCCTCTGTTAAGGGTTTTCCATTCTCAAGGGTTATGAGCTTTGCAAGGTCATCTTTGTTCTCCAGAATAAGATCGAACCTGGGGAATAAACGTGTCAATAGTACACTTGAAAATTTGCAACATCACACTTCCAGTGGATAACTACGTCAAATGACAACTTTGCTGCATTTTCAGCAACCACTACTTCGTGTTTTCAACATCAACATCAAACACAAAAAGAAGAAATCACCATTTCCGCAAGAGTTTGCATCTGTCGAAAGCAGTTCGTTTGCTCCAAGCTGCAATGAGCAACAGCAGAGGGCTCTTGAGCGATGTCAAATAGATACATGCTACAATATTGTCATAAAATTGTGATAGTTTTCTAAATAGTGGACTCTTTTCATTACTCTGAAGCCCTTGAAGATCCCAAGACATGTACACGGAACAAAAATGCAGTCACAATACAACATCGACGCTGGTAAAGAAGCCTGGTAATATTCTAGTTGATGCTGGTGTGTCAAGTATGTCCTTGACAGTACTGATTGGAAGTAGTTTCAATCACTTACGTAAGAAAGCTACTGAGGCGGCCGCAATCGCCTTCTCCGCATCAATTTTTCCCATGAACGGCACGTTCGCAAGAACATCTCCAGTGGCTGGATTGTTAACCTGAAAAACAGTCATCCCGAACCTCCTAGGATTTACAGAGACTCTCTCAATAGACACGCAAGAGATCCCCAAAATTATAAAAACATAAAAATAAAATTAAAAATAAAATAAACTTCGAGTGCATGATAGCAACGCGTATAATTAGAATTCCATCGAATATGATACATAAGTCTAAAAACGCCTAGTTAGAAACCTGGCTATTAAAAGGAATGAATTGATAAATGAATAATGGTGGGTGGCAGATACAATTACATGTACACTGCGGCTGCTAAACAGAGCCACGAATTCAGTAGTATAAAGTGGTTGTGAGTGGTGTTAATATAGGTCGATTCCAAGAGATATGGCACAGAGCCCACATCTTCGATACTATGCCAGTGTGAATGAAGCGGATAATGAAACTAAAAGATTCCTTACACAACGCGAGAACACAATCTTGAAGGAAAGTAGGAATAAGTAACTGCATGAGTACATACGGCAAGAGTACGGTTATCGAGGGCATTCGCCCACTCGCCATTGATAAGCCCCTGCGTCTTGAAAAGACCCATGTTTTTCAGCTGAACCATCGCACCAACTTGCGCAAACCCCATGATTCTCCAATGCTCTCCAACTTCTCCAATCCACCAAGCTGATCTCCTGAAATTGTCCAAAATGGCGAACACCTTAACCCCAACAACCTAGTCGTCAGGGTATGGGTCTAATCCAAGAATCCACAACCTTCTCGAACTACACAAAGCCCAACTCAGAAGAAGCAGAGATCCTGCGAACATCAACTCGGCACTTTCAACAATAGCCTGTAGATCAACTAAAACTAGAGAAAACGAGCTAGAACAGCTACCCAATGAAAAACAGCACAGACTTGAAGCTAAGTACCGAAACCAAACTGAAGCCTAAAGTCAGAAGTCAAGTGTGAATAAATGGAGTATTAACCTTTGCACGGATGTGACGAAGGCGGATAAATATGAAGTTCACCCCGATGCAGCGCCCAACAAAAAAATCAATAATACAAAAGTCGAAGGGGGGCTTGAACCCCGCAGAAAAAACCACTCCACACGTGGGAATGACGAAGGCTTAAGATAGGACGCAGGGTATCGGATGAAAAGAGGGCGAGTGAATATCAGGAACGATGACCAAGCCAGCCAGCCACCATTCTTCTTCTTGAGCATCTTCCAAGGCTAGCACAGTGCAATGTTACCGGATCAGACTGTGTCATTGCATTCGAAAGCGCTTGCCCAGACACTTCCAGATTCATCGACCTCGCTCTCTCTCTCTCTCTCTCTCTGTCTTGCTCTGTGTCGCTCCCTCTCTCACCCGGGAGCGCAACTTGACATTTGTACCATGTGATATTGGATTTGAGCTCCGAAATCCCGATCCCTGCCATCGTGCTTCCAGCCAGCAGCCGCCGTGAAGGTGGTAGAGGGGACGATGCTGCTACTAGCTGACGGGCAGAGGAGGAGGAGGCCCACCACAGCGCTCCCCGCCCCGATGTTGACGTTCGCAGGATCTCTGCTTCTTCTGAAAGTGTGCCAGAAAGTGTGCTTCAGTGAAATTAGGGTTTCTTTGTTCAAACACGCTCACTGGAGTAGTGTTGTAAATTTTGAACGTAAAACTAGGTGATTACTTGATTCATTTGTTGGATGGATTAATGAATGGAAATGAAAAATAAAAAACTGCTCCTGGAAAATCAGAAAGTTCAGTCAAGGAGATAGAGATCATGTAATTGTGAATCTCAAGGTGGCATCAAGGTTTGGTGCTCCTCTGCATTTTGTTTAGTTTTTTATGATTGATGAAGAAGAGATGAGGATTTTTGGAACTTAGAAGCCCACTTTGAAAAGTTATGGTTTAAAAGTTATATGAAGGTTTCATGATTGGTGAAGAAAATTTGTCCTTCAAAAATATGTCTTTTTTAGATGAACTAAATATATTTTTGTTATCATTGTAAATATAGAATAAGTAATAGTGACAACTTTGACAAATAATTTTTCAGTAATATTTTGATTTTTAATGAACATTTTTAACAATTTTTGACATAGATTGTTAAGATGTTGTAAAAATCGCCTCTTGGCAATAGGCCTATACAAGGTTTAAGGAGATCCCATTATTTATGATATGTAGGAAAAATAATACATTATATGTAATTTCCTAACTATTGTCTTTTTTTTAAAACATTGTGATTAAATATTTTAATATAGTTCATTATATTTTTATTGACTTTCAATTTATATATATATATATATATATATATATCTTATACTAGATTGTCTAATCATCTTGTACTTTGTAAAAAAACTATCATTAATTTTTTTTAAGTTATTCTCAAATATTTAAAAGTTAAAAAGTATAAATTTAATTATTTCTAATTTTTTATCATTAAAGTAATAATTGATTAAATATATGAATTAAAGTATCAAAATAGTATATATATTATACCATTAATAATTATCAAGACAAATTGTCAACTCTCTTGCTAATAGCAAAACTTTATGTAAAAACATTGTAGTTTCTTTTATCAAATTATAGTCATCATCTATAATTTGATATTTTTACTTACAAAATTTAGAAATCTTGTAGTAGAAGATCTAATAAGTTAATTATCAAAGTTTTATATTATATAAAAGATGCAACTAAAAGATGCTAAAAATTGACAAAAAAACTAATGCACATATTTTTAGGAAAGAACAACATCTATTCCATCTTAGTAATAAAGTATAATAATTTATTATAATATCATGAATAATCCACTTTACAACAACTTAAACTATTAAAGGTTTAAACCTTATTTTGTTCAAAAATAAAATATTCAAACAAAATACACATTAGGTATAATTACTACTATATTTTTAAATTTAACAATATTTTTTAGGAAAAATATCACACATATCCTTCAAATATGTCAAAATATCAAGAATATCCTTATATTCTTAATAATAGCATATATACTCTTAGAATTATTGATAATAACATATATTTCTTTCATCTTAATAAGGTATTAGAAATCTAACAATTTTATAAATGTTTTTGTCTTCATATGGACTAAAAACAAATGAAGTCCTACATAATATGCACTCTTAGGCAAATTATCAAAAAAAAAAGATACTACCACAATTGTCCAACAATGTACAACATATTGCAACTCTTTCCCTTATAGCATCCCAATTGAGAAATCGTTTAAGTAGAGATTATTTAAGTTAATATGCAATGTTTTAGTTTGTGTGCTTTACAAGTCTAATGTTGTATATTAAAGTTGTTGTGCTTTTCTCAATCTAAAGTTCACAACTTTCATACAATAAGTGGTTAGTTTAAGATTAGAGCATATCTATATCACCTACCTATCAATTCTTTATTATGTTAGTAACATAAGAGCACAACTTTGATGTAGATTTGTCATTAGTTGAAATAGCTTGCTGTATATTAATACAGAGGACTAAGAATGAAAAGTGTTGCTATCACATTGAGACGTGATGTATTAATCCACTAGTTGAATGTTGTATCTATATTCTTATGAAGAAATTGTATATGCTTTCCTTGAATCACAAAATGTTTGCCTTAACTTGTAGACAATATATTGATCCTATGCAAGATTGAGTCAATTTTTAGAAATAAGAAGATACCAATCCTTGTAAAGAACAAGCTTTATAATGGTTAAACATATAATAATGTTGCTACACATATAATTGCAAACTGCAAATTATCTTGGATAAAAAATAAAGGCTTCATTTTTTAATAGAATATTAAAGTACTCTTGGCTATCTGTTGTTGTATTATGAAAAGTCTTGCTCGAGAATGCACTGGGCATCTAGATGTGGAAGGTAGAATGGAAATTACAACAACAAAATCTTAATTCTAATCAAATAAATCTAATTAAACCTTAACAATGCTAAACAAGCTTTAATTAAATTCAAAAGAAACCTTAAAGAAATTACAAAAGAAGCAATAAAAAACCTTAAAAGAATTCAAAAGAAATCCACAATAAAATTTAAAAGAATCCTTAAGAAATCCTAAAAAAATATTAGAATAATTACAAATATATCTTAAATAAATTTCAACCAAGTCCTAATTTAAACCTAATTGAAATCCTAATGGACTTCAATCAAATTCTAAGCCAAATCCTAAATTATAACTAAACCTTAAATCTTAAACAAATCCTAAATCTTAAATCTTAAGCAAATCTCAAATCCTAAATCCTAAACCAAAGCCTAAATCCTAGTCTAATCTTAAACCTTGAACAAATCCTAACGAAATTCTAAATTTTAATTCAACCCTAATCTTAATCAAATCTTAATAAAAACCTAACCAACTCAACCTAATCTAACACAATTTAGAACTTCAATATCTATTCATTAAATCATTGATCTTGCGTAAAATTTTACACACTTCTTAAAAATTAAGTTGGTAAAAAGTAAAAAATTTTCAAAGAAGATCAAACTTACCAAATAGAAGAAAATTATCATAATAAGCTTAGATTTCAGTTGACTTCCTTCTTCAACCTTGATGCTGGTCTTCTAGCACCAATATTTCCTTTTCACACTATTCAATTATTGTCAAAATTCACATATGTGTAGACCCTAACTCAATTCAACTGTTTAATTAAACTCAAACTTGTAGCATTCACTTCAAACAACTATTTTCATAAGTCCTTGAAATTTAAATTGTAGATCTACTACCAAACCCACAAAATTTTCCAAAACGTTATATCTTTTTTATTTCACAAATTTTAGTGTCATTCAAAACAATTAAAACTTTGCAAAGCTCTTACAAAGTCATCATACACTCAAATCACTCAAAATTAATGTCTAAAAACATCCTATCAAGTTTGCTTTCAAATCCCGCATTCCAATCTACCAAAGAACCTCAAAATCACCATAGGTGCATGGTTTTGTGCCTTGGAGTCTGATTTCAACCTAGGTTGACAATTGGTCCTCTTTGGGTATCAATACTTAGCTTCTTGAGATAATTTTTGCTAAAATCTATTTTTAACTTCTTCCTACAGATACCTATATTATATTATCTTCCAATCTATTTTTAAAATTTTTTTTTATGGCCCTAAAAAATAAATAGAAGCCTATTTTGTAAAAAAACAACAATAGTATCTTTTAGTTTTATTATCTTTTTAACTATTACCTATTTTCTAAGATATTTATTATAATATTTTAAAGTAATATCTTCTATAATATAAGATTTTCTTCTCTCTTTCATTCATTAGCCATGTTATATTACGACACTGTATATGACAAATTTTGAGAATATTGAAGAATAATGATGGTATTTGCAAAGCCTCTAAATACCATTGTTTGGAATATTGTAATGTGCTAGAAAAATAGAAATGGTAATATGATAGTATCCATAAGATTTGAAAGCAATGAAAATACCATAATATTACAAATTCTATAATAATGTAGCATTAAGTAGAAGAGTGAGATTTACCAATTAATTGAGTATTACAAAAAGATGACTAAGTTCTAACAAAACTTGATATCTTATAGGTGCTATTATATTAAGATTGATAGATAAATTTGACAAGATATTATATATATATATATATATATATATATATAGCAGATGAATCTTTGATTCTAAAGAAAATTTAAGGAATTTTTTATCAAAATAAAAGTAAAGTCTTAAACAACTAATGTAGCATTGATTGGTATATCTAGCATCAATTTGCAATTGCATCAAAGACTTAATTTTTACCAGCTTTGAACTAAAATCACAAAAGAACTAGCTTATTGATGCCTAAAAGAATCTTATATATAAACAAGTTTTTGGATACTTCTTTATGAAATAACCTCCTTTCCAAAACCTTTCTTATAGGCCTTCTAACAAATCTAAACATTTAAAAATAAATTTTAATCCATAATTTAAGATTGATCAAATTTCTTCATTAAAACATACAACAAAAATATACAACTTTATAACTTAATATATCTTAAAAAATAAACCTCTGCTTTTGAAAGAAACATCCTTTGATACCAAAACTCATGAAGTCTTCACTTTTAGATATATTGGAGATTGATGTATTAATACAATAAATTTATGACAACCTCATCTATAATACTAATTTCTCCAACATGAGTATGTTGTTGTGATGTAACATGGCCATTGAATGAAAGAAAGAAGAAAAAGTTATATTATAGAAGATTCTATTTTAAAATATTATAGAAAATTATCTTTAAAATATAAATAATAGTCAAAATAATAGTAAAATTAAAAAGTATTAATATTACCTTTTTACAAAATGGG